TACCCAAGGTACATATACACCAAGTATCAAAGCATTCAGGCTTGTAGTTTTCAAGAAGAAGTCGAAAAAGTAAAACATTGACACGGACGACGACGGACGACGACGACGGACAATCACTCATATGATAAGCTCCGCTCGACAAAGTCGACAGCGGAGCTAAAAAGTTTGTCTATTTCCATGTTTATTTATAGATTATCTCCCATTCATTTATACACACTATATCAGATCACATGCTTAGAACAACGTATCTGCTGAGTGCCCAAAGCTCCTAACCATACCAGATCTATATGGATACTGAGATTCCTGTTTCAATCCAGAGAATTCATATACCTTTTCTAAATTGTTCGGTTTTAGAAATTTCTAATACAAGGTGTTGGAGAAGCAAAATGATGCTCAGTTTAAATTTCCAGTTTACATTGGATATGATTTAAATATGGTAAGACCCTTGTAACAATATAGCTATTTTGACCTAGCAAGTGATTGTAGATGCAAATGGTGGTCAAAATCTCAGCCAATGAACTTATTTTTATCTCTCAAATATCATTCTATTTTCTCCCATCATCATGTCCCCCTTTCCCCTGATCAATATTTGTGCAACCAAGTTTTGTAGCTCTCGTTATTAACAAAATCTCACTGGATGTTTGTGTCTGAAGTCTACTGTACGTGTAGATGCTCTGGATAATGAAACACTATGTCAATGTAGATCTGGAAAGGTTAGGAGGTAGAGCCTAAATCATTTCAATACTTCTACCAATACAAAGTTTGGAATAGAAGTTAGTAAAGTTAATGTGCACACATTAACAACGACAACAACGGTGATGGCGACAGACATTTTCCTCTTAATATACTTTTCCCTTTCATCTTTGATAATACGGGCAAGGTAAAAATGGTGAGGTGTCATACACGTATCATTCTAAATACCATCAAGTAACAGCATAGGCTGACATACGTGAGAATCAATAATGCTAATTGCAGCCAGCATGTATAAATGCAAATTCCTGTACAACATGCAATCAGAACATGGAATTTGTTTATTAACTACTAGAAGTGATCTGTAATAGTTTACCTTTGAAAGCATCTGTGGCACCCGGTGCATGGTTTTTGTCAGGATGAAACTGTAATGCTAATTTTCTGTAGGCTTTTTTCAAATCTATATCTGACACATCTTTGGGAACTCCAAGGATCTCATAATAATCTTTACACTTTTTTATCCTGAAATTGAGGAACAGTGGAAGTGTTATTTTGTCAGATAAACTGGAAAGAACTATTAAGAAAAACGAATTCTTGAAATCAACTGTTGAAGAATACAAACCTTCTGACAGAGTCGGCCTGTTCTGGGGAATAATCCAGTTTGATTTCTTTGTGTTGATTGGTGTCAGGTTTGACCTGCTCATCTGTTGTATGGGCTCTCCCATTGGAGGTAGCAGACTTTTTTGAATGAGAACTTCCATTTCTTTGAAGGGATTCCAACAAAACTAACAATATAAATGAAAAAGAAAAATTATGGTCAAGAAAAAAACAACGGGTGTATCACTATAACCTACCTAATCAAAAGAAGAATTATTGTGTTATTATGGTTAATCACATTGTCTTTAAGGCACAAGACAGCTGTTATTTCATGTTTATTGGTGGTGCATGTCTATTTTCTGTTTCTGGGAGCAAAATCTCACCACATCCAATTCATAATTGTGGCAAACACAGCTGCAATATGCCGAGTCACGCCTATACTATTTGGGGTTATGTGTACCCTCTAACATGACAGATTTTGTAGGGATCTTGAGTCAAAATAGAATCCCCCAAAATTAACTCTTTGCTGGCCTAACAGATTTGTCTTCAAGGGTAGGATCAACAAAAATCAACTTGCATCTTTGTGGAATAATATATATTGCTTATGTACCAAGTTTGAATAAACTTGGTGATTGTATTCTCAAGTTATAAGGAAAGATGAAAAATATTTTTGACGCACAATATGGTCGTTAGGCAAACAGGTTTTACTAATATTCTAAGTTCGAACAAAACAGCCAGCACAACTTATGGACAATGTCAAGCTATTTAGGGGTCAAATATAAGCACCATTTTGAACTGAAGAACAATCTGGAGCTTCTGAATATCATCATGTATAAACTATGTACTAAGTTTTGGAAAAATCGGTCCTAGAACTTCTGAGATAATGCGACAGACAGAAAGACTGTCCAGTCGAGAGATAATTTGCCAGAATAGTTCCATTAGTAGTTCATGTGCTTACGTGAATTACAGTTTCGTTTTTCTGGTCAAAACAACAGGTGGTATTACCTGGTCAATAAAATTCACAAATACAAATACGTTTTCAAGATTAGTGCAGGCACACAAAAAATATGATTTTTATGTAAGTTCTCACAGTGTTTAATTTCCAACATCATACCCGGGGTTTTGTAAACATAGTGACAGTAGTGACAGTATTAGTTCTGTCAGGTACATCATACATGCAAGTCTCTGGGATACAAACTATAAATAAATGCGATTTTAAGAACCAAAACAATAATTTGCAATATTTTTGCACACATAGATCCAGCCTGCAAAGGAGTATGTTAATAAAACAAACACATAACAAAAGAAGCGATAACATCATGGGCTAGCCTAATCAATGAATATATGAAGAAACACATACAGGCTACAGTCCTATTAAATGTCTGCCTTCTGTCCAACTCATGCAAGGCTTCAATACAACAATAGAATCAGCACAGGACATTTAAGAAAGTTCTAACATTTTGAAGGACACAACTGGTATAATCCTTGACCTACACTTTATACAAATTTTTTAAAATTATGCTAATTTATTCATGACCTAGCAGTTTCTTTGCTCATGAATATTCATTAATTTGTGGGTCAATACATTCTAAAAGGGGCGATATATTATTTTTGGGGGAAGAGTTAGAAAGGGGGGATTAGCAATCCTTAGGGGGTCAATACAAAAGAAGGGGTGCATTTGGAGAGCAGCAATGCTCCTCGTGTCTGTTGTTGTTGCACGTGACTTCCAGCTGTCAACTGTGTTCATACTGCAACGTCTTCGACTGGCTTCCATGTGAGGTAGTATTCTTGTGTTCTGTTTTTCTGACTTGAGTTCTTCATAAACAGAAGTTGCTGTTTATGTTTTTAACGTCTTTCATATCTTGTCTTGTAGGAGTGTCCTGTCCGTGATTTGAACTTGCACTCTTTGAGTTCCCAGCGCACTGTCTTGTCCACTGTACCACGAGTGTCTTCACACAAGTGATGGGATTAAGTCCTATTTATAGGAGCACTGTTCACACTAGCATTAAAAAATCGTACTAAACCGTACTAGATTTGAACCAGCAATCTCTCACATTGATGACATTGTACATATCCACTGAACCATATGGGTCATGCAAATGAATGATTTGTTGTCACATTTAGCTTTATTGCAAATTAGTGTTTGCGAGAAAAGATGGGCAGGGATGGGAATTGAACCCGGGTCCTCCTGATCACTATGTAGACAACTGACCCACAGACAACAATAGATTGACAGGTTGTGTTTGCATTTGATGAGACTATATAGTGTGTATATATATAGAAATACAACATATTTCTATTATTGAGTTATAATTGTCCAAAAAATTGCCAATTTTGTGTTTTTACGTGTGTAAACTATATGCATGGCATAAACCGTTAGAGTACATCTTGCCAATTGGGTGTTTGCCATTTGCATTGCCCATACCTGACCCGACCATAACGCCAAGACACGTTCCTGTTAATAATTCCGTTGCCCATACCTGACCCGACCCTAACCCTAGTGCCAAGACACGTTCCTGTTAATAATTCCGTTGCCCATACCTGACCCGACCCTAATCCTAATGCCAAGACACGTTCCTGTTAATAATTCCGTTGACCACACCTGACCCGACCCTAACCCTAATGCCAAGACACGTTCCTGTTGATAATTCCGTTGACCACACCTGACCCGACCCTAACCCTAATGCCAAGACACGTTCCTGTTAATAATTGCTCAATAATGATACTCTGTTGTGCACTGTCTGCGGATAAGTTGCATTGATGTCAACTGATTAAACAAGTCGCGTTTAAGTAATATATTGAGACTTATTTTGGTGTAGACAACACTCGTTTAATTATTTTACACCATTACAAGTTGTTAAATTGAGAGAATAAATGTGTGGACAAATATTTGAGACTTATTTTGGTGTAGAAAAGTCGCGTTTAATTAACTTCCACCAATTACAAGTTGTTAAATTGAGAGAATAAATGTCTCAACAAATATTTAATACTTATTTTGGTGTAGACAAGTCGCATTTAATTAACTTCCATCATTAAATGTTGTTAAATTGTGAAAATGAATTTATGGACTAATATTTGAGACTTATTTTGGTGTAGAAAAGTCGCATTTAACTTCCAGCAATTACAAGTTGTTAAATTGAGAGAATAAATGTCTCAACAAATATTTAATACTTATTTTGGTGTAAACAAGTCAAGTTTAATTAACTTCCACCAATTACAAGTTGTTAAATTGAGAGAATAAATGTCTCAACAAATATTTAATACTTATTTTGGTGTAAACAACTCGCTTTTGATTAATTCCAACAATTACAAGTTGTTAAATTGAGAGAATAAATGTGTGGACAAATATTTGAGACTTATTTTGGTGTAGACAAGTCGTGTTTAATTAACTTTCACCAGTTGTTAAAATAATGAAATAAATATACTGGTATCATTGGATATTTGATTTAATTGTGAAACTTTCTAACAAAATGTTAACTGCTGACTTTGAACCCTCAATCAACAATTCCGCAGACACAGTATAAATTCCACAACACCACAGGAGATATAAGTCTGTTGCCTGAATTGTTTTCGTAATATAGGGAACGCCATCCACACTTCAACAAAACTTACCTTGACTTGGGTCTTGTTTATGTCTGCACAATCTGGAAACTGTGAACAAATTGCGCGTCGTTCAGTTTAAGACGCATGTTATTTTATTATTTATTCATTAAGTTTGCATGGTGGAGTTTCGTGAGGTTTATTATTTTTTCGCAACGTTCTTTGTTTACTTGTTACGGTTTGAGGGATTTCAGTTCATTTGATTTACGTTTTTAAGGTAGCTATGAGCGGAACTCAAACCCACTGTCTTTTCAAGCTAATTTTGTTTTACTGTAGAATACTTTATTTTCGCTTGGAATTTATTTTCGTTATTTTCGCTGAAGGGATGATTCCGTGAAAATAAAATCCAGCGAATATACTTTTTTTCCTATATTTCACATTCAACTCATCAAAAATCAGTGAAAATAAATTGCATAAAGAATGCCTAAAAAGCCTTTTCAGCGAAAATTAATTCCAGCGAAAATAAAGTATTCCACAGTATCTCGATGGCACGCTTGTGTACCACGCCACGACGTTGAGTGGTGTTCATTTTTCAAACTACTCCAATGTTCCGATGAGAAATGTTCCAAACGGGAAAGCCAAAACGATTGCTGGTTTCTGATTGCTTCGGTTCTGGTGAGTGTGTATCTAGTGTGATTCGAACACATTTCGTTTGTATTGTGCGTTTTTTTATTTCCCATGTTGGCTACGCCGTAATATGCAACCACTTCCCCATTTTATTGTGATTTTGTGAGTGTTTAATGTCTTCCTCACTGGTCACACCATGACCCAGTTTCAACTACACGGCCATTTTGCAACGAAGTGTGTGACCCTTGGCGTGACCCAACTGACTATATGATCGTTCTGTTCAACTGTTAAGCTAGGATTTATTACCGTTATTATCATTATATTGTCACGTGATTTGTTTTACCTTATGTGTAATGTCTTATGTATCTTTATTGTAATTTGTATATACCAATTCGTATATACCGAGGAAACAACCCCAATTAAAGGTCATGTATTTTGTGACGTCACTAATTCGTGTGTAGGTACGGCTTCTAGAACCGTGCCTAATCCTTTGATGCTTTCATGATTTTTTAAAGTAATGTAAGTAACGTAATCAATGTTACTGGTGCAAACACTGTGAAATAATAACTTTGTTTGCATATATAATATCGAAAGATTATGACATTAGTAGGGCCCCAAAATATGAAAATTATTTACCTCGTACTGATAATTGAGTACGCGGAAACCAGAACTTAATAATATGATAGGGGCTTTTGGTTCATCCAAAATGCGCCAGGAAGTCAAGTGTATTGGACCGTGACGTAAAATAACCACGACGAACACACGATTATTATACTAGTACCAGTATTAAGTGTGTAAGTTGCGAGCTTAACAAATAATAACTGGCCATCGGACATCGCGCATACATTTTTTAAAGCAATTTTCTTCGTTGTATACAAAATGTATACAATAGCTGGTGATGTCCCTGATAAAAATGCACTAAACATACTAGTGAAGTTCGAAAAAAATAGACAGAATGAAAAAAATAATGTCGGAAGAACGCAGGAAAATAAATGATATGATTCCAAAAATGCATTGTAAAACTTCCCCGGCTTCGCGTCTTTGAGGGGGGATTACATTACATTGCACTAAAAGTTAGACATTACCTTTCGCTTTTTTGGATGGATATAATCTGTCAGCTTTTTGTAAAAATTTTATCGCCTTCTCACAGTTTCCTGATGCGATATATTGCTGTGCGATCTCAATACATCGCTCACTCTCGTCCTTATTGCCGTCCATTTTGGATTTCATATATTGGACTATTTCCTAACGGATAATTTCTAGTACACAATGCGTGTTCAAATATACTTTTTATCCAACATTTTAAAGCTCCCCCAAATCGTTTTTGGTGACTTTATGCAACTCTTTTTTAATTTGATAACAACAAACACTGTTTTTATTGCAAGGGAATATGTGTAACTTGCCACATTGAGATATTTTCGAATACGGTTTTGTAAATGACTTTAAAGTACATTTTTTGTATCAAAGAATGATGATTGGGCTACGTGGCGATTCTAATGTGTGATGTTTTTTGAAACTGTGAGAATAATTTTCTTTGCTTTGGAGTAAATAACCAATATGTTGTGTAATAACACACAGAAGGTTGCAAGACAGGGAATATTTTCCCGGAACAAGAGTCGCCAGTGTTTCAAAACGAACATTTTATAGTGTGTCGTCGTCTTTATAACAGACCAATCATATCTCTCGTTATAAACCACCAGAAAGATAGAATGTACGAGTATACATAGAGGTCACAATACAAGTGGGTCAGCTCTACAAATATTCACATTATAATGTCGGTGTGTACCGGGTAGCCCTGATCGCAGTCTCTGAACTGATCAAGGTACAGCTACAGCAAAGTTGTCATCACTTTGAAAATTAATTAATCAAGTAGATTGATTAGTAGATTCACAAAATTTTGTAGTCATGAAAATTTCTTTTAGTCATTTGGCATGGAGTGTCAGTGAATTGTGTAGAGTGGTTATTATATATAATTACATGTATAAC